ATTTGCGCTGGTAATACATTGTCAATAAAACTATATTACTATTTGATCTACCTGTTACCACCATGCGCCTTATAAAGGAGAAAACTTTTCAACAATAAGCGGAAGCAATTTTCGTTAGCCCGTTGGTTTTAATAAGAACGATGCAAAATCAACATGAATTTTATTAAAATTTCTATGATCAGCAGTAAACTTCTTCGATTTCAAATCAAACTCAATTCAGATGATGGTGATCCATGCAGTACGATGAAAACATTCATAACAACGACTACAGGCTCATAACCCAAGATCACATTCAGAAATACCGTTTGCGTAACCATTCATGAATTTTTCAATCCATTCAGGAGGTGGCTGCACACCAAGAACCTACAATTTCTTGCGTTAATCCATTCAGAACCACCAAAGGAAACGGCAAAAGCCATCACTATTACCAAATATGGGCTGTTGTTTCACTCCGACTTGTGAAAAAGATAGAAATGCCAACATACCTCTGGCAATGCGTTCATATTTTTGAACCATTCACTGAGGCGCGGATAGCATTTCTGCCCGGGGAAACCTTGTTTTTCCAAAAATTCGATACCCGGTTGGCCAGCAAAGAACGACAGACGTAAATAGAACGGGAATATCATGTAGTCGACGAAGCCAGCTTGATCACCTGCAACGATAAAATTTCAATGAAATGATATGTGAGAAATTTTCAAAAAAGAAAAATTCACATGGGATGACACCAATTAAGATGATCAAATCGTTTGCTTACTTCCAAAGTATTTATGCTTCAAGAAATTTTCAGCCTTATCCATCTCTTTCTTCAGCTCTTCACCCTTCGCCTTACGATCGTCACCTTTTGGAAACATCCATCCATAATATTTGCTAACGAACTGCAAATGAATTCTTTCATCATCACCCCACAACATTCCATCTATCATCACACTTGCAAATCAATCACACTGAATATTTTGCAGATTTGCTAAAGTTCTAACATTCATTGTCAAATAAATTCATTAGATGAACGGAACAGATCAATGTTTACGCAGAAAAGTTCCGAAATAAGCACGAAAAATCACTGCATTGCTTATTGCCGAACTATTATTCACTGGATTAGTAACACGGACTAGATATCATTTCATTTACCGGTGACACTTGCTCGTATAAAATTCGGTGTTGTGCTCGCTCATAAGGATCTGTTGGCAGAACTGACGTTTCTGGAAACAGTTCATCCAGATACTGTACGATTACAGTTGATTCAATGATTATCTGAAAATGGTGGAATTTCTCAGCCAATGACGCAGTAAAGAAATTTAATCGATACTAATTACCTTTCGAAAGAATGTATGAAGTAATTTTTGAAAATGATTTTAGTGAGGAAGTGGGAAAATTAATTGGTCCCATAGACACTCTTTTAATTTGCCCTTGCGTGAGGAGTGCCTATTTATCGAGATGAATCAGAAACCTTTCCGTCGTGCTCCAGAGTCGGAAGGTTTCCTTGAGGATGCTTCTTGAAATACCAATCTGGCTTATTCGACAAATCAATATTCACAACCTCTGCTCTGGAAGCGCATTATGAACCGGGAAGTATTAAGCGAATACAGACTCAGTAATAGTCTAAACGAATCATTTCAAGATCTTGACTGCAATTCGAAATGTTACGAGAAATTTGCAGTTGATCACACTGTCTGTTTGGATCTACTATTGTGAGAGCATTCTTCGCTATGTGAAAGCGATAATAAGAGCGTTTCAGTTCGAGAATATTCATTTCTTATTCTCCATCAAAATTNTTCAGTACATTTGTTTGAGTGAGAAAGAATTGTTGCATGAAGTGGAAAGATGAAACTGACTTGATTCCTTTTCTTGCCAGATAAAGTAATGCCCTCTGAGCGAAAGGACAGAATCGCATGCTGTATACTCGAAAGACGTGTGGCTTCGGATCGTCAGGCATTGGATCACCTTGAACAATTTCGGTAATTAATTGATAGTCACCACATAGACGGATAAGATTCATGAAGAAAACATAACGTATCGGTTCGATAACGGTACTTTAAGAGTAGGAATATTGAATGAATCTCACGGAAATGTTATTCGATAAAAATTTCAAACTACCGAACCTTGTTTCAGCGATTTCGAATCGAGCGAAATCAGTGACGAAGAAGGGGCCATTTTGAATGGTACCTGAAACAAAGAGAGAATCATCCACGTTCAATTCATATTTATTGACGAAGTGCTGCACAAATTCAGCCAAAAATTATGCACTCGATAAAATGAACAAGATTTTATAAGTGATCGACAGTTTTACATGAATGAACAGGTGAATTGCGAAAGTAAACGTGAAAACATGAATTTACAAATTTCCATCGTAAATAGCAAATCCACACTGAATGTGTGTTCAAATCGATTGAAAAATTGACTGAGAGCGGCTGATTTTAATGTGAAACAAGCGTCTGAATTGCTGCTGAGCATTTGACAGGAGAGTGTAGTTGCAAGCGGCTGGCAGAATTGATAAACAACGTTTGAAACGATATGCAGTGCAAAACTAGCAATTACTTTGTCTATTCAAAAACCAGTATTCTTTAGATTTTCAGTTTAAAAAATCGAATGCTATTCTATGCGCTTATTTCTATATATTCACTGAATGAAAAATGCACGCCTACTGGAACAATATGAAGAAAAGAAAACAGTATAAATATGAAGAAAATATGAAGAAAAAA